CCAAGGACCTCATGTTACTTTTACTGCTCCTCTGTTTTTATAGAATCTTTTCTACTTTAAAAAGATGGTTGTTTTGTGTACAGGTTTAGAAAATGCCCAATAAGCCATCATTTTAGTTATTTGTTCTTATTGCTTTATTGACCATTCTTTAAATGACCAGCACTTTTTAAAAAAGCAAACAGTTGATTCAAGTATGATATATACAAAAGGGCACAAATTGTAAATCTATAGTTTGGTGAATTTTTACAAAGTGAGCACATCTGTTTGTTTTCAAGAAACAGAGCATTACTAGTCCCCAGAAGCTTCTGCTGTGTGCCACTTCTCAGTCACGTCCTCCAAAGTAGAACCCACACTATAACACCCAGGATTAGTTTTGTCTGTTTGTGAACTTCATATAAATGGAATTATAAGTATATAATTTTGTGTGACTTGTTTTGTTAAAATTATATTTGAGAGATCCTCTCATATTTTTGATTATAGCTATAGTTCTTTAATTCTCATTGCTATGTAGGATTTCATCATGTAAATATACCACAATTTATTTGTCTATGTTACTGTTGATGGACATTTTGGGATAATTAGTGCCGTTATGAACACATTTGGTCATAAATTTTGTTGAATATTATGTTCACATTTCTGTTAGTATATAACTGAGTGCAGAATTACTGTGCCAGAGTGTAAACATAAACAAGTTTAAATAGATAACTACCAAAGGATTTTCCAAAATGGTTGTACCGGTTTACACTCAACTAACTGTGAGTGTAGTTGTTCCTGTCCTCACCAACATTTGTTATTTTTTGTTTGTTTGCTTTGTTTTTGGTTGCTGTGGGCTGGGTTATGTGTGCAAATAATCCTCAAACTTCGGTGGGTGAAAACAGCACCAGTTTATTTCTCTCGTGTTATATGTCTGTCATGGTTTGGCTTCAGCAACCCTGGCCACTGCTCTTACTCTGTACTGATGGGACAGCCACTTTTGGAAGCTTGCTGGTCACAGGAACAGAGGGAAGGTCATGGGGAGTGAGCACTTAAAGCCTCTGCCTGATGTGGCACCTGTCACTTCTCACATTTCATTATCCAAACAATGACATCTCCTCACCTAATTACAAAGAAGAAAAATCCGTACCCTGTGCCCAAAGGAAATGAGTATTTTAGGCAAAAATTATCGCATCTGAAAGGACTGATTTCAGAGAATATGGCCCTGGTTTAGTGTTTGTCTAAGAAAATAAACACACAAAGACAAGTCCTTTTAGTTTTTCCATTCCATGTTGTTTTTAAAATGCTGCAGTCCTGAGAAATGAGTCTATTACAACTACAGGATTGTGATCCCTTTTGCTAAAAACTCCTTAATAGCTTCACTGTGCACTCATGCAACCCAGACACGATGTGGCCTACAGTCCCTACCTTTCAAGCCTCCTCTCGTTCCAACTCACGCCACACCTCAACCCTACTGACCTTTCAGTTCCCTGAAGGAGACATGAGCTCTCTACTTCTGCCCTGAGTGCTTTCCTACCTTTCTCCTTGCTTTTACCTGCTAATTCTTTGGCTTTTAGGTCAAATATTTGCTCTAGGAAGTCCCCCGTGACTCCCGGGGTAGATAGAGTCTTCTCTTTGCTATGCTCTCATAATACTCTGTTGCTTTGTTTCCAGACAAGCTGTTCCAGAGTTATGTGTGCAAGCATGTGTTGTTGTTTTTTCATCTTCACCCGAGGAAATGTGGTGCTCATTTTTGTTTTGTTTTGTTTTTAGAAAGAGTAAGGGAAAGATTGATTATTAAATTTTCTTACACAAATAGTACATGTGCATATTTACAGGGTATTTTTTTGTAATGGCTCACTTCTTCCGTTACACACAGTCTCCTGTTATAAGCTACCAACATCTCTTGCCTGAAAAAGAAAAAGAAAAAAAAGCAAAGTGAATAAAAACAGTCATGAAATGGTTTAGCATCCACTTCAACCTTTTAAATAAGCTGTGAGGTATAGAAGAGTGACATT